GCCAGGCATTGACTTTTCCTCACTAGCTATGAAAGTCCTAGATGATGTCTTCTTCCAATATAGGGCTGTTCCATCTACACTGAAAATCTGTGGTTTAGTGTAGCCACCTTCATCAATGATCTTAGCTAGATCTGGATAATTTGCTGCTTCTACATCAGAATTTGCTGCTTCACTTTGAACTTTTATGTTAAGGAGATGGCTTCTTTCCTTACCTCATGAACCAACCTCTGCTAGCTTCAAACTTTTCTTCTGCAGCTTCCTCACTTCTCTCTCAGCCTTCATAGAATTGAAAAGAGTTAAGGCCTTCCTCTGGATTAGGCTTTGGCTCGGGGAAAGGTTGTGGCTGGTTTCATCTTCTATCAGATCACTCAAACTTTCTCACTGTAAGCAATAAGGATGTTTTACTTTCTCATCATTCGTGTGTTCACTGGCGTAGCATTTTTAATTTCCGTCATGAACTTCTCCTTTGCATTCACAACTTGGGTAATTGCTTCGCACAAGAGGCCTAGCCTTTGGCCTGTCTCAGCTTTCTACATGCCTTCCTCACTAAGCTTAATCATTTCTAGCTTTGGATCTAAAGTGAGAGATGTGTAACCCTTTCCTTCACGTGAACACTTAGAGGCTATTGTAGAGTTACTAACTGGCCTAATTTCAGTATTGTTGTGTCTCAGCAAATAGGGAGGCCTGAGGAGAGAGAGAGATGGGGGAACGGCTGGTCAGTCGAGCAGAGCAGTCAGAAGACACACATTTATCGATTAAGTTTGCTCTCTTATATGGGCACTGTTCTTGGTGTCCCCCCAAAATCACAACAATAACATCAAAGATCACTGGTCACAGATTAACATAACAGATATAATAATAATGAAAAAGTTTAAAATATTGCAAGAATTACCAAAATGTTACACAGAAACATGAAGTGAGCACATGATGTTGGGTAAAACGGTGCTGATAAACTTGTTTGGTGCAGGTTTGCCATAAACCTGCAATTTGTGAAAACCACAATATCTGTAAAGTGCAATAAAAGAAAACACAATAAAACGCGTTATGGCTGTATCTAGTTTCTCAAATTCCTGAGCCTCTCCAGCGTTGTGTCACATAATCGGGTTTGCTTCCTGCTAGATCTCCGCATCCTTACTCCTCACGGGCATTGGGTTTCCATATTTATACTCTGCTAAGTCAGTTACCTCTCAGCCACTTGCTTTCCATTTTCCAAAATCTTGTTAACATTTTTTTCATGTAGAGTTAACTCCTCTCTTGTTCTCTTTGTCCTCATGGACTTACTCATTTTTTATTAATTTGTTGTCATCTTAGTGGCAATGGATGAATATTGAACTCTGTACTGGTTTTCCTTCGGTGGTTGTCTGTGAGCTGTTTATTTGAATTTACCACATTCTTCTTCTGGATCACAACAAGGTCCCTAACAGTGGGGCCACACTGTCTTGACTATATACACGTGGAAATAGTAGGAAGGAAAATCAGAAGGATGCTATCCATTTTGACTTGGTTTTGATGATAAGGTGCTATTCTCTAACATATTAACTTTCTCTTCTCACTTCCTACTTCCTTTTCTTTCTTCTCTTTCTTTCTTTCTTTCTTTTTTTTATGTTCCAATTTTTTAATGTGTGTGTCTTTTTTCCAGCAAGAATTTTCAGGGGCTACTTTGTTCACATTTACATTTCCAAAAGAGTTTTAGTTTCCATTTTCTCTCCTCTTATTGACCTGCAGCTTTTGTTGCTCCACCTTGTGACCCTTGCTGTTTCTGTGGATGTGCTCCAGTAATCCCCACTCCACTTAGGGAGGCCCATTTTGCCCTTTAGAAACTTTGCCTTTTCCCCCTACCCTTAAGAACTTTCCTCATACAATCAAAAACAAAGTCCATCCACTCTTTGGTCTCTTGAAGCAGAACAGGGCTTTCCTCCCCTTAGTTAGCCTCCTTATTAGACCATTATTTTATTTTCATTCTAATGGGAATTTATCCTCTACTTAAATGCAGCTTTATTTCTCCAGAATTTGAGAGATTTCAAGTGTCTGGAATGCATGATCAAAAAAAGTAGTGCTTTTCATTCTACATGCTACAGCAGCTATTCTTTCTGGCTCATAAATCTTATCCCTTTTATTGGCTCATTTCCTATTTTTATAAGCATATTCTGGACTTTCGCATGCTTTGCCAAAGGAGCAGCCTTAATTATTTACTCTTATAGTTCAGTTCTAATTACTTAACTTTGAGGTGATATTTTGGTAACTTCTAATGGAAAATCTAGTCTAAGCTCCCTACCTCCACCAAAGGAAATTTTCCCCCAAGCGAATCCTTAATTAGTTTTTCTTTACTTTTGGAGTGATCCTTTTCTCATATCTAGTAATGATCCATGATCATTTATATACCAACCCAATATCTTAAATCTTTCAGTCTACATTAAAAAATAAAAAAACCCTTCATTCTTAAGTGGTTTCCTTTCACAACTAATTAGCAGGAAGAGTTCCAAATGTAACTCCTTTTGTTTGATAAAGAAATCTATTCTTCACTTTCAGTCTAGTTTCTCTTGCTAAAATCACATCCAGAAGCTCTGTGATTGGAAGTCTTTAAAATGGCCCACGATGATCCTTACCCTCCCGACATTCACACTCTTGTGCAATTGTTTCACCTGGAGTGTGGGTTGGACTGATTAACTCATTTGTAAGAATGAAACACAGCAAAAGCAACGGGATGTTACTTCTGAGATTAGGTTACAAAATGACTATGGATTCCATGTTGGCGCCCAGCCTCTCTCATTCTTGGTCACTTGCTTACCCTGAGGGAAGCCAGCTAATATACTATGAACTCTTCTGCAGAGACGTCTATGTAGCAAAGAGCTGAGGGAAGATTCTGGCCAACAGCTAGTGAGGAACTGAGGCCCTCAGTCCAACAATTTGTAAGGAAATAAATCCTGCTGACAACCACATAAGTGAGCCTGGAAGCCAATCCTCCCCTAGCAGAACCTTTAGATGAGACTGCAGCCCCAGTGCACACCCTGACACCAACCTCCTGAGAGGCCTTGAGCCAGATGCACCCAACTAAGCCACGCTCAGATTCCTGACCCACCGAAGCTATGAGATAATAAACGCTTGTTGTTTGAAGCCACTGTACTTGGGGGTAACTTGTCACATAGCAATAGGTAACTAATACAGGCTCTTAAGGCAAATTTCCTAGCTTTCAGTCTACACATTTTATATGATAAATTTCCTTGTGGGTCATTCTTTCCTTTGGATGTTAATTTAATTATTCATGCAAAATTTTCTTTAAATTCCTCTTTGAGAGCAGGAAGTAGCAATTTGTCAGTCTTATTCATAATTATTAAGTACGTCACCAGTGCCTACCTAGCACAGTGCCTGGCACCTAGATAGATGCTAACATATATTTACCGAATTTGACCTTTCTGTCTTTTCCTATTTGACCTAGTTTATAGGTTACTCCTCACTTTCTATATTGCCATTTCTTTGGGGATTTAAGAGTTAGCAAACCTGCTAGTCTAGTTGCATTGACCTTCCTCCCTTTAACCTGCTGTCCCTCCTCTAGAGCTTCCAGTTGGCATGCCTCTCTCTTCCTCAGGGTTTCTCCAGGGGAGCTGCCTCCGCACGCTCTCCCTCCCTACTCCTGCCTGAACTGGTGGGGCGGCTCCCTTTACCTGGGAGGCTTGTGCTGCTGTGTCCCAACACGAGACACTCAATCACCTGACCCTCTAGCCATCTGGAGGAGTAGGTAGTGTGTTTATTGTTTTGTATTGTTTTCATTTTAAAAGTAAAAAAAAAAACAATGGAGGCCCAGAGATGTTGAATGCTGAGCCTGAGGTCATCTTGAAAATGAGATGCAGAATAAAAAGAAGTCAGGTTTCCTGAAAGAGAAAACATCACACCATGGAGATTCAAATTTGAATCTTAGCTCCACCAAGCTGTGTTTTGACCTTATGGAAATTATTCAACCTTTTTCAGTCACTTCCTCATCTGTAAGATGTAAATAATTTCTACTTTATAGGGTTGTCCTAGGCATTATTCTTGATCCAGATTCAGTCCATGTTCTATCCATGTTCTATCTTCTATTCACAATTTCTTTGCAATAAATTTGCTTCATAATTATAATGATATAAACTTTCTGTTTTGGTTGGTATATTAAATATAGCAAGAACATGGTATATTTAACTGTTGATAATATTACTATTAGCATTTTCCTTTTATTCCTTTATTAAGATGCCAATAAAACCAACAAAAATATTACTTCTCACTAACATTAAGAATCTTCCTCCATTTGTCTTTATTTGCTATACGGTCATAAATGGGATCAAATATTGTCATGTGACACAACACTGGTGACTAGAAAACATATTAATTGTTCCACTATTTCTAAACTGCTTAGTAGTTCAGAAATATAAGACTTTGTTTGAAAAAAACTTTTCAAATCAAAATAAGTCTACTACAGTTTAAATATAAACACTGCTAAAATAACCATGCATACATAAGAAAGAAGACCAACACATGTAAATTACCTTATAAATTTCGGTTGACAGGAAGGTAAAATCCTAAAGTGAAATTATATTTAAAATACATTGTCCAAGTACTTTTTGAACTTAAGCAGTTTTAGTACTCTAAACTAAAACTTTTGTTGCTCTAAAAAGCACCAAAGCACCAATCTTTCTTTGACAAAGATTCAATGTTAAAACAAATAAGACATAATTATATAAAGATTCCTAGTCTTAGAGGTTTTAAATAGTCATTTACAACACAGAACTGGGCACTGAGGAAACTTTAGAGATTACAGAGTTCAATGTATTCATCTTACAGATACGGAAGCCAGGTCCAGAGAAGTTAAGTGACTGTCTAGTTAAGGACATGGCAAGGATGTGATCTCAGATCCCTGACTAACAGTCCAGGAATCTTTCCATGACACCAAGCTGCTTTTCATGTTTTTGTTTGTTTGTTGTGCTCTTTCACTAATTGCAAAATCAAAGGTATCATCATCTGTTTCCTACCTCTTCCTGGGACTGGTTAAATTGCTGTATCAGTTGTGTCTGTGCCAGCATTACTCTTTCCAGTTCATCTGACTTCTGTTTCATTTCCTTCCTCAAGTCTTCAGAAACTGAATCATTACTGTCAATTTCCTTCTTCAAGCGAGATTCAAATTCTGCAACCAAATTTTTAAGGTTTTCTATTTCTTTTTCCTTTGACTCAGATTCTTCAGTGTATCGAATGTGGGATTCACGGAGTTTTTCTTCAAGAGTGGCCACTTCCAGCCTTAGATCTCTTGTAGCGCCTGTGATTAATTCAGATATCTGTAAGATAAATCTCTTATTAGTTTGTAGGCAATAGTTTTTAAGTAACCACACAGTTCTTATGATTTTTAAGAGATTTATTCTTTTTTATTTTTGGCAATACAATTCTTTTTTATTATTTTTTCTTTTTGAGGAAGAAGCATACTTTTTATATAGCACCTGTAAACATATCAGTGAAGTATACTATTTTGAAATTCCTCATTTTTTTTTTTTGAATGTTAGATTATCACAACATCAACTGCATTACATAATAGTTACTGAAAGCAAGTCAGGCTAAAATAAGAGAAAAATTTTATAGCTAAAAATATTCATAGCAGCAACTTTTAAAAGATGATTTTTATTAAATCAAGTCATTGCACTTGGTCATTTTATTGCTACAGCAAAAAAAGGCCATTAAATTATAATACTTCTCATGTTTGATTTAAATGATTGTCTCATTCTGTTCATACATTTAAGAGGTTTATTCTAATTAATCAGTATGCTCTTCTGATCAGATGAAAACAAATCCTATGATGTATGCAGGCCTTCAAGATTTTCTTTTTAAGGCCGGGCGCGGGCGCGGTGGCTCACACCTGTAATCCTAGCACTCTGGGAGGCCGAGGCAGGCGGATCGTTTGAGCTAAGGAGTTCGAGACCAGCCTGACCAAGAGTGAGACCCCGTCTCTACTAAAAATAGAAAGAAATAAATCAGACAACTAAAAATATATAGAAAAAATTAGCCGGGCACGGTGGCGCATGCCTGTAGTCCCAGCTACTTGGGAGGCTGAGGCAGGAGGATTGCTTGAGCCCAGGAGTTTGAGGTTGCTGTGAACTAGGCTGATTGCCATGGCACTCTAGCCCAGGCAACAGTGAGACTCTGTCTCAAAAAAAAAAAAAAAAAGATTTTCTTTTTAAGAGTTAAGACTAAAACTTTCATTTTTCCACCTAAAATGGTATCACATTAATCACCCTTGGAAATATATAAATAAATCCCTGTAACTGTATTGAGCTACAAAGAGAGCACAAGTCTTGACAAACAGATCAGGGGCCTATGTGGACCTAACTAGGTTGGCTTTGGGATCTTGAAATGCCTGATGTTTGGAGATGCAAGGAGGAGAGCACCACAATCATACACTACTCATACCATACCAATAAGTTTTCTTTTGACATGATTTTTTTTTCTTTCTTGTATATGATGGCTGGAGGCACCCCAGATACTATACTTTCTAGAAAAGCATTGCCCAACAGAACTTCAATGATGATAGACATATTCTGTACTATCCGGTATGGTAGCAACTAGCCACATGTGGCTATTGACAGTGGTATGCTGGTAAATGTTTAACAACTGATTGTCAAAAACAAACAAAAAAAGAGCCATATTTGTATCTAGTTTCCATGGTGTAAATACTCTCTCACGTGGTTACCAACGTGATATCATTGGTCACTAAGCTGGGAAGAGATGCACATGATAGGCTTTCAAAAGCCAGTGTTGGCTATTGAAATGTGACTAATATAACCAAGGAACTGATTTTAAATTTTAATTAATTTTAATTAATTTAACTGAAATTTAAGTAGCCACATGTGGCTACCATAAGACAGTGAAATTCTAGAGAATATCGGAATACTTTGAAAATATGCTGGTTCTCAATGTGGTACACCTCTAGATAAATATAATAAATGAAGGAATAACTTGGAGAAGCTTTTCCTCATAGCACGAAAGTCTTTAGAAGGGAAAAGGTTGCTTGTTTTCTTTCTCCTTAAAAAACAAAGAACAAAAAACAAACAAGAAGGAGCAGAGCTGCTTCTGATGAAACATATCCTTATTATTAATACTTATGCTACAAATATTATCATATTATAAACATTAGCACAAGAAACTAGCCCATGAAGAATCTGGAAAACATTGACCAAAGTTCCAAGGACTTTGTGAACTATTACTTAAAAAGAATTATGTATCCAAAATTTGTTTCAAATGTTAAATTTACATAAAGAATAACTTTTGTGAGGAATCTATTCACAATTAGTAATTTTATAAATTAATATTCCATTATCTTCAATTAATCCAGGAGGGAAGCAGGTCCTTGCTATTTCTGAACAGTGGTTGCCATCACCCTGAGGACAGCTGACACTGAAATAAAGCAGATTATCCTTGGGAGAAGAGGATCACATCAACACAAATATGCTTTGATTTTTTGAAAAGAGAGTCAACATTTAAAAATTAGGATATTTCACTTACAAAATCTGGATTTATGACTTCTTTTGAGAAACTGAAACATCTGGCAAGTTCCGGCCTGCCTGTCTGCATTTCCCCGCTGATAGGATCCTGAGCCACCCTGACTGCAACAGCAGTCACAAAGTGAGAGGAAGAAGGGAGGAGGAGACTCAGCAGGGCTTGGGGTGCCAGGGCCAGGACCCATCTAGGGAAGGTGGAAGTTTGGGTGAACTGAGGCTCCAAGCTCCACTGTCCCAATAGGATTTTACTTACAAAACACAAACGCAAAGATAAAAGTGTAAGAATTTTGGCCGGGCGCAGTGGCTCATGCCTGTAATCCTAGCACTCTGGGAGGCTGAGGAGGCGGATCGTTAGAGCTCAGGAGCTTGAGACCAGCCTGACCAAGAGCGAGACCCCGTCTCTAAAGAAATTAGCTGGACAACTAAAAATATACATAGAAAAAATTAGCCGGGCCTGGTAGCACATGCCTGTAGTCCCAGCCACTCGGGAGGCTGAGGCAGGACCATTGCTTGAGCCCAGGAGTTTGAGGTTGCAGCGAGCTATGATGATGCCACTGCACTCTAGCCCAGGCTACAGAATGAGACTCTGTCTCAAAAAAAAAAAAAAAGAATTTCAAAGCAGTATCTACAGAGTATGAAATCCAAAGCATGGAGCCTTTCTGAGTGTGGGCCCTGTGCTAGGCATTGGTCATATACTCAGGTAGCTGGTTCTGCCTACTATTCACAATGAACTACTGAAATGGCTGTACCAAATTTCCTGTATACAAATGTAGAGGGCATTAGGTCTCATTTGATGCTTAACTAACAGACTCTTAATGAGTTTATTCAAAATATGATTTCCCCACTGGTTCTTCATTAATACACACACACACACACACACACACACTCTGCACTAAAGTCCTATAAAAACAGGAAACCTTAACAAAACCTTAAATTATATTTAGAACATACTGTTTAAGAAACTAAGAAGATGTGATAACATTTGAAAAATATTTCTCAGCCAGGCGTGGTGGCTCATGCCTGTAATCCAAGCACTCTGGGAGGTTGAGGTGGGAGGATTGTTTGAGCTCAGGAGTTCGAGACGAGCCTGAGCAAGAGTGAGACCCTCTTCTCTACTAAAAATAGAAAAGTTGGCTGAGTGTGGTGGTGTGCACCTGTAATCCCAGCTACTTGGGAGGCTGAGCCAGGAGAATCACTTGAGCCCAGGAGTTTGAGGTTGCTGTGAGCTAGGCTGACGCTATGGCACTCTAGCCCAGGTGACAGAGCAAGACACCATCTCAAAAAAAAAATGTTTCATTCAAAATGCTTTTCATTCAAAAATGTTTAGAATTAAAAATATTTGCCATTAGAGGGGATATGCTTTAGTTGTTGGGAAATTTTTAATTATGTAAAATACCTCATTATCTTTTGATGTTAGATATTTGAGGTGTTGGAATATCTAGCCATGATAATTATTACTCATATAATTTATGCTGTTTTCAAATTGTTTATTTTAGTAGAAAACATTCCATATATACCTGAATTGCGTTATCTCAATTATCCATTCTGGATGGTAGCCAAATCATTTTACCTGTATGGCTAAAACTAAGGCACAGTGACCATGAGGAGACCTATAAATAGTGTAGATTCTTAGGAGGAAATAATCAACACCTGCAATTTCAAACTGATTAAATAATGATGAATTATCATAATTACAAACCTTCACTTGTAGTTCCTCTTGTTCTTTCTTATACTTTTGGATTATTTCTTCATGCTTTTCTTTTTCAATATCAAGTTCCAGTTTTGCTTCTTCCTTAAAGAAAAGAGCTTGCTCCTCAAATTCAACTAAATGTCTAGCTCTTTCCTTGGCGAGTTCAGCTTCAATCTAGAAAATAGCATTTAACACACATATAAAACCATTTTGCCTTGAAATAAGTACAGTAAGCTTATTTTAAGATTAATTTTTAAAAAATTTTTAACATTAAATTTTTAATTAAACTATTTTAAAAATTTTAGTATTAAAAAAAATCTGACTTAGAACTTGAGCCAAATATTCCAACACCTTCTAAGACTTTCTAAGACCTGAAAAATTAATAGAGAAGTTAGAACTATATATTATGACAGTTTTCATAAATTAAAAGCTTAGTCATCTGTTCATTTATACTGTAAACTCAGTCTTTGCCAGTAATTTATAAGAGAAAATTAAAAAAACAAACAGATTTTGAGGCCCTTAGGCTAAGTTCTGCTGAAAATTCAAAGGGGATACAAAGTACAAGTGTTGATTTTTCAAATGGCCCCTTCTTGATGGAGGTCATAGAAAGTTTTGGAGTCATAGGTTGTCATTTTAATGTGACTGGGGCTGGAAAGATGATTAAAGGAAGTGAAGTATCACAAGAATGGAAAAACAAGCACAATGTGTACTCAATATCAAATTGGTATTAACTGATCAACACTTATGTGCACATAGAGTAGTAACATTCATTGGGTGTCAGGCAGGTGGGAGCAGGGAGGAAAGGATGGGTATATTCACACCTAATGGGTGCGGTGTGCGCTGTCTGGGGGATGGACATGCTGAAAGCTCTGACTCAAGTGGGACAAAGGCGATATATGTAACCTAAACATTTGTACCCCCATAAGATGCTGAAATAAAAAGAAAAATAATAAAAAAAGGAAAATATAGTGATGCCTGTACAGATGATCCCCTACTTGGCATGGTTTGGCCTTTGATTTTTTGACTTTATGATTGTGTGAAAGCAATATGCATTCAGTAGAAACTGTCCTTTGAGTTTTGGATTTTGATCTTTTCCCAGGCTACTGATACAGGCATGATACTCTCTCGGGATGCTGGGCAGCTGTAATCACAAGGGTAAACAACCTACACTCTACAGTGTGTACGTACTGTGTTGCCAGAGTTTTGAGGATACCGTGTTTCGCGTTTTTGTCATCATGTCTACAAAATGCTTATTTTTTGATTTACGATATCTTCAAATTACTGTGGGTTTATCGTGAGGTAACCCCATTGTAAGTCAGACTGTCTGTATCCAAATTTTGATTCAGAATCATAGTGCTGGAAGGGACCTTAGAAATCCCCTAGTTCAACGTCTCATGCTTCTGTGAATTGTGGAAAGAATAAACAAGGACTTTGGATGCAGATGGAGTTGAGTTTAAATTCCGGCTCTAAATCCTGGCTCTGCCACTTGCTGAGTGATCTTAAGTTTGTGACTGTAACCTCTCCTTGTGGGGTTATAACTAGTTCCCTTAGGGTTGTTATGAGCATTAAATGAGGTGAAGCATCTGTATGAAGCTCTAGCACAAGCAGAAATCCTATAGTCAGTGGAGATTACTTCCACGCTCTGACTTTTCAGTCTCTACTACGAATCTACACTAAACGACTGTCTGCTATGTGCCTCAGACCTCCAGGAACCATAACTCACTCGTTCCTCAGCAGGCATTTCCATTTTCAGACCATGCTAAGTATTAAACAGTTTCTCCTGTCATTGAGCCAACATCTCTCTCCATATGGTTTCTAACCATTGGTTTTTGCTCTGCCTTCCGGAGCAAGAGAGAGAACAAATCTATGAGTACTGGAGTCAATCATTCCCGGGAGTTCATCTAGTAAGATTAGAGAAGGGATTCCCGTGACAGGCTGGCTCTAGATTTACACTGTACTATGATTATAAACTCTAAGAGGGGGCAAATGCCAGGTAAATTGGGGAAAAACTGTCAAACCTGACTATGATTATGTGATTCAGGCCACCAAGGGAAGGAAAGGGGTCAACCTAAGTTTCTCAAGGGAACATTGAAATCAGGGTAACAGGACACAGAAATATTGCTAAGAAAGTTTATAGAAAGCCTTTTAAAATAAATAAAATGTAGACAGAAGACTAGCTTCAGTGCTGGGTCAATTGGTTTTATTGCACTGGGTATAGCATTGGAGCATTTGCCCCAGGGCAATGTAATTATACAGTACTCAATGCAAGGAATTATTTTGGCTCTCTTAAAACAAACTTCTGGATTGTCTAGCTAAAAGACTACTAATGATCTTTTAGGAACATTATAGAATTATTTGGATGGGCTGCTCTCAGACTGCTAAAGACAAGGAGAGCTTCAGCGGCACTCAGAAAAGAACATGAAGCTACTACAAGGCGGAGAGGGCGTGCACACTCAGATGTTACTGGTGCACTCTATAGCTCAGCTTGTTTAGTTTTCCCATGTAACCTGTCTCCACACATGTCTCCACAGAAGGTGTAAGGGCCATGGACTTGGTATTTATTTAGTTTAAAAATTTGGGGGGATTTTCCAGATAACTGTTTGTCAATGTTTTCTAATTTAATTCCATTTTTTTTTTTTTTT